CAGGCTCCATCACAAGCCCAGTGGCAGGGCTCTAATTGTTTTTTAAACTACATTTTTTACAGGTGGGGGCAGCATTATATCAGTGGTAAGTGTTATGAGCAGCTCTTTAATATACTGTTATATTTCTATTTTGGGTGTTTGGGTGTAGTGGTCCTTTAATTACTATCCACTTAAAAATCCAGACAAGGAATTAAAGAAAGAAGTGCTAGAAGTAAATGCTTCCATTGTTAAGTAAATCTGTCAGGTTTACATTTACTTTTCATCTCGTAAAAAAGTCTTATCAACTAGCAAAGATGAGACTTGCACAGCACAGAGCGGAGACCATTAGTGGAAATAAATTCCTGACACTAAGAACTCGCAATCCAAATATTATGTGCCAGTGTAGCGTGTACACCAGATGTGACACTTCATACGTTATGCACGTCTCTGGAGGTGCTGCCTGTATTGCTAATACAGAAAAAAAAAAAACGAAGACAAATTAGGGCAAGAGAATCTAATATTTAGACATTTCATGAACATATGTATTTCAGCTCCTTATTAACACACCAAGTTATCACTTCATATAACTGGCTGACAACACGCAGAGCCGGGCTGATTCAGAGTGTTACTGTCTAGCGGAGACACATTTTATAAATGACTCTTAAGTGGCAGATCTTAGATCTCCGCAAGTCTGTGGCTGTCACTTTGTCTTCCTGTCTTTAGAAGCAGTAAAAATTAGATTTCCTGATCAGTCTTCCATCTCGAGCACTCTGAAGTTAAGGGGAAGAACAGCTAATTATATAATTATGGATATGCATGTGCGTTATATGTCATACCCTCATACTCTTTGTATACATTTGACTCCAGTCAGACTTGCAGATATGGCAATTAAACTTTAAGGGACTACTGAGTGATAATTAATCTGGCATTAATCTTGTACAGATGGTTGATCCATGTGTTACTTTTCTGTGGTTGCAGGTATTATTTTGTGGTGAAGTTGCCGTTTCAAAAAAACCCACTGTGCGACCCTGTCTGATGCTTTACATTGTTTGCATCAAAACATCCTGACTGGGTCCTGGGCCTAGTGCAAATGCATGCTGTGGCCCCATTCATTCCTAGGGATGCTCCATACTCTGTTGGATGGCTGGGGACTGCCATGAGTATGGACCATTGATTGGAATGAATGGGGCACATCAGGACAGTATGCAGAGGACTCAATGGGCATATTTTGGTTGGAAAGGCTGTCTGCACCAAGCCGTGTCACACAGTAAAGTACTTATGAGCAGGCATTAAAGTAATTATTTATTTATGCCGGCTGTACTGCTGAGGTGGTAGTTTTTTTAAGGGTTAACCTTAAAAAATAAGTGAACGTTCTGACAAAGTGCACCTATCCCCTCCCCTGACCTCACAGAACCCACCCTCCTCCTGCACAGATGTATACTTACAGAGATCCAGCACCTGGGGCCCACTGTGCTTCTTGTGCTGCCCTCTCTCTACTTGCTGCATCTGCACAGTAGAGCCCTATGGAACTGTATGGGGGTTGTCTCCCAGCCAGGAGACGGTGGTAGGCAAGCCCCATAGATGTCTATAGGGCTCTATTGTGCAGGCATGGCCAAGAGAGAGGGGACTTGGGGCATGAGATGTAAACAACCCTGCAGGTGTCACATCAAGGAGGGTATACATCTGTGGAGAGGGAGGGTGGGATCTGTTAGGTCAGGGGAAGTGGCAAAAAGTATAAGTGTGCCTTGTGTTAAAGTGCACTTATCTTTTAACTTTCTCTCAGTATAAGTCTGTGCAAATGTGGGCCAAGTGCTCACTGGTTCCAAACACTACCCTGTAGGTCTTAAAAGGGAGGTTGTTCACTATAAAATGATGAGACAGGAGCCTCAGAAGCACTGTGAGCAACTTGCTAAATCAGACAAGATATAAAATCTGATTATATAAAATCCTTCTCCAGCCAAAACCTTTTTTATTTTGTTTTGAATAGCACAGGGACCTTATATCCTTATAGGACAGGAAGTGAGGGTATATTTCTGTCAGGACAGGAAGTGAGGGTAATCTCTTCAAATGTTTCTACAATAGAGACACAGACAAAAACACAGTTTTGGTAGAAATAGGGTTAGAACTTCTGACAGTGTTTTTATTGTTGTCCATAGTTTACTGTCCCAGTTACAACCACACCCCGGGCATCACAGGGATAGACTATCATTTTATTATAGATTAGTAAACTAAACGTGAGATTGTAGTCCATCACGGAGTGAGCTTGGAGGGGTGACTACTTTAGAACACACACAGGGACCATGGAGAGAAAAGGTAGCCACCCTCCAGAAAAATTAGGGAGGGTCAAGCAGCACTTTATGGGAACTGGCTACAAAAGTAGCCACCCTCCATAAAGAAGAACAGTGTCAGCATGATGTCAGAAATGATTTGAAAATCTACAGCTGAGTGATACACAAATAAGGTACAATGTTGTTCATAGTCAAGGTACCTGAATGCATTTTTAAGATTTGACTCAGGAGCTCAGTGTCAGTTTAAGTGAGTGATCAAGCAAATTCTTCTACCTAACTCTCTCATGTACAATTGTATTTACTGCTTTTAAGGTGTATAATAATTACCTCATTGTACAAAATTACATTGTTGTACAAAATTGTTTTTACAAACGTAAAGCAATTTAGAAATGTATCTTTTTTTAATATTGTTTGCAATTGAGCATGTTTGCAGTAATGTTCACCGTGACTTGATTATTGCAGTTGTATCACATTAGCTTCTGCTCTAATGTCTAGATTGAATTCAGCTATGGTCCCTTCAAGTGACTGAATCTGTATATCCGTCATCTAGCTGTGGTGTGAGAAATCTCGTGCTTGCTTCAGACCATCAGTAGACACATGGTTTATCTCTCTTTTTTTCTTTACTTGTTTTCACCATAATAATGCTGGTCTTTCAATGCTTTGGCTAGGGATTCTTTCTTCCACACTTACTGTAGATCACATTACTCTGAATGCTGGACACTGTTTTGCCCTATGCAATTCTCTTCCTGCCCTTCTGTTCCTGGGTTATGCCTGAGTTTACTGTATTACTAATGTACATTGCATTAAATGTTCATTTGTAAAATAAATATTTTAACATGTGAAACAATAATATAAAATTCATATTTATAATTGTTAAGATTAGAAAAAAATAAAAGGGGACCTTTCAGTAACTTTACAGGTCTGCATGGATAAATATTGAAATGTCACAAGATACAACAACAGTATAACTTAAAAATATATATTTTATCTGTCCAATATTTGGAACCAAATCCCTTTGTCCTCCTCAGTTGTCCTTTTTTTTGGTCTGATGTACAGATATTGATGAAAAGCAACTCCGCTCTAAATAAAAAGAACACTTTAAAAATGACTACAGATGTTCCTCACTTACCGACTTACCTGTTTTGCGACCACTCGCACTTACGACGGACCGCCGATCGACCTCCGACCTTCCGCGTCAGCGTCAGTGCGACGGGTCGCCGGCGGAAGTGACATCCCCCGATCTTCACTGCAGGTCTCGGTAAGTATTTCCATTGCCGGATGTACAGTACACTGTTCGGTACTGTACATCGGCAACGCTATACAGTACTGTACTAATGCAGTATAGTACTGTATAGAGTTCCTCACTTAACGACCAATCCGTTTAACGACCTGGTCGTAGGAACGGAACTCTGTCGTTAAGTGAGGAATACCTGTATAGCATAAATAATTGTTGCACAAGTCATTTTGTAATTTAATGTTATTAAAATTACCGTTCCATTTAAAAATTGAGCAGTTGTAATGTTCTAAATCTGTCAAAAAATGTAATGCAATATGGTGACCTGGAGGCATTCTGCACATAGTTGGTATACAGAACACCCACAGAAATGTCACTTCCTGCTTCTGTGATTGGCTGACTGATTTTTCTGCACACAGATAAAGTTCAATTTTTCTGCCTCCCTTGCAATAGCAATTTCATTTTTGGTGAGTTACTCCCTAAGGGTTAATTAATACGAAAGGGATGCAGACACTGCAACTGTCTCATTACAACACAGAAAGTCCACCAGCTGATTATAATGAACCCAGACCTTCCCATAAAGGAAGCAGTTTGGAAAGGACATGCTGCAACACACTGCTATTTTTCAGAACAGAAACAGGTAGGAAACTGCAGCAACGTTGGTAAAGGAAAATCATTGCAATGTACACAGATCACCCGGAGAGGATTGATTTTTTTCTCAACAATAGTGCAGTTACTCTTTAACTACCAAAAGTGTTATTCTGCACTAAAACCTTTATCTTATCTCTTATTTATATTGTGGGCTATTTTAGAAGGCCAGAATAAAGAAAAAGTAATGAAAACAATCCTAGGTTTAAAGTGGCATTAAAGTATAATTTTTTTGTCCTTCACCCCAATGCTAGTGAAAACACTTACCTTAAATGATGTCTCTTAGTCCGATCATCTTCTTTCCTGTCGTTTTCAGCTGTCCCTGCAGCGCTGCTGCGGCTCTCCGATCTGTGCTTGCTTGCACTTCCTGTCCCACGGTGTCTGCATGCGGGAGCACGCTGTCCATAGACTTACCTTGTGTCTTTCCTTGTCTCGCGGCCGAAAATTTTTAACTGCGCATGCACCTGCCCAAAGATCCTGTGCAACCGCCCAACATTTTTCAGATTTTCGGACAGGAGTTTAGTAACCCTTTAATCAATAATTTTTGGCATATGAATTCTTAATGGTCCACATAACAGTGGTCATGGCAGGAGTGTGACTGTTGCCTAAATGCATTGTGCTGGAAGTTGTCCCTCTTTTCCATATCAGAATGTTGGGAGGTATAAAAAATGCAGCCAATGAACTCCAGTAGAGTGACTTTGTCCAGGCTGAAATTATGTCATTAGTCAGCTGCAGGCAGGAAGAAGCATTTCTTCAGTCTCCTCTCCTCCAGTGTTAAGGCTCCAACCCTGTCATTTTGTAGCAAGTCACAAGGTGAGAGGGGCTGATCTGTGTCAGAGATTTTTGAACCACATCAAGAACTGCTAACACTTGAAGATGTACATGATTGTGACATATCTGGGCCAGCATCTCAGTCCAGAAAAAAGATCCTGACATGGGTGGATGGATGATGTCTGAACAAAGATGGTGCTGTCCTTCTGAAGAGAAAAGTAGATGAAGGTTAGGGAGATTAGTGATTTCTTTGAGCGCTAATAAATACTCAAACTACTTGTATGGACATAACATGAAAATATATATCTGACACTCGGTCCACTTTATATAACGCTAACCAAAAACCAATATAGTTCCCTTTTAACATTTCAATATCAGTTTTTTTTTTAGCATTATAGAGACATGAGCAGTAAAGCGCAATCACTGCATTACTAAGCAGTAAGTCGAGCCTGCATATGTAATAAGCAAGTATGGCTGCTCTCATACATGTATATATACAGACTATGTACAGAAATCAGATTTTTAATATATTATCACTCACTAATAAGATTTAAAGAAGAAGGCTAGTTACAAATTTTCTTAATCCTTGCAATAGGGCTATCCCCGCACTGCAAGAGTTAAGTGCTTGTTTTGTCTAGGGAGCTAAAATAAAAAAAAAAAGTTATATTCACCCGAACCGTGATCCCGGCTTGCTCTTAGATCGTTCGCTCCAGCCTCTTTCCCCCTTCACTCCAGGAGTCTAAGGTCCTATGAGTCATGGGAAATTCCATCGCAGAGGAGAACATAGGTCTTGCAGCCAGCAAGCTGCGAGGTTCAGGGGAGAATATCTCTTTTATTTTCGTGCCAGGACCAAAACAAGCACTTAACCTTTGCATTGCAAGGTATCCCCACTGCAAGGGTTAAGAAAATGTGTGTCTGGAGTTCTTCTTTAAAATGAGTTACTCATATTTACAGATATATTTAATAACATTTTACAAGTTTACTAATGCATTTCCAGTTAAGATGTGTGTTTTTAGAAAACGTTGTTTGTGTTATTGCAGAATAATAGGTGTGATGCTTTGTGGAACAGTGTCACCGAACATTTCATCATTTTCCAAAACCATTACTTATTGAAAGCAATTTTGGTATTGTGGTAATGTGACATTTTATTTCCAGATTGCTGAATTTATATTATTAGAAAAGTATTTTTTTTTTGACTGTAAAAAGTATTTTTTTGTAGGTGCCACTTGATTCATTTTTGCTGACCCACATATTAGCCAAATATTGCCAGCTAAGTGTTTTACATCCACTTTGTGGATGGTTGGCCTTTCAATGGGGAACAAACTATTCAATGCCAAAATAATACCAGAGCATGAAAGAAGATTTCATGCCTCTGCTTCAAAACTGCCCTGTGCAGTGACCAGTTCCTCAGGGCCAGGACAAGGGACTTTCTCTCTCTCATATATATATATATATATATATATATATATATATATATATATATATATATATATATATATATATATATATATATATATATATATATATATATATATATATATATATATATATATATATATATATATATATATATATATATATATATATTAAAAAAATTGAAAAGCCTGCACACTGATTTGTATGTCTATAGCACACCAATAATTTGCCCATCCAAGGCAAAATTAGAGTTTCAGTGGATAGCCTATGTCCTACACTGCTTATACTTATATTCCTTTCATTCCCCACTTGAGCAGCCCATTCTATAATCCCTGTGTAGGTTTCTGGTCAACTATGGGTAAGAAATAAAAACGGGTATGAGTCAATTTGCGTACACTTTCCCCCACACTCTTTACCCACCTCCCACATCAAACTAATTGCTAAAATGAATGAAGAAGAAAAAACTAAAAGACCCTTTTACTTACCTGAATCCATGATCATGGGATGCGTCATGTCCAGAGTCTTTCGTAGTATGCACTGTAGAGGTGAGTCCTTTTTTAGGAGCTAACATTTCTTCCGGGATCATGTGGGCACTGCCCATTGGCTGTCCAGTGGCAAGATCCTCTCAGGCTCCAGAAAATTACAGGACCATAATGATATCATACCAAACAACCCAACTGGTCAGAAGAAGTCCCAGAATCCAACATTAAATTAGCAGTCCCCACTTCTAAAAGAAAGGACATTAGGTGGCATGGATGGCAGACTGAGGTGAGTTAAAAATGGAGTGATGTGTTTTTGTTAAAAAAATGCAAATGGATGTAAGTAGGGAGAGCTGAGCTGGGAGAACATATTTGCAGAGATGGGCTTTAATGACCATTCCCCCAGCCCATGCCCGTCAGCTGACTGCTCAGGCACCCAGTACCCTATCACAGAAGAGAGTCATCTTCTCCTTAATAACCAGAAATATTGGGTATTTCATGGGGCTCCAGAGATTGAACTGTGCAAAAAAAAAAACCCTGAATGGGCAAAGTATAGGATTGATTAATGGGTACTTTAGTGTGAACATAGCAGGCTGAGCGAATTGTTCTGTTGCGTGAGTGTCACATGTAAATGATGCTTGCCCTCATTAACTCTATTTATCCACTTTCCAGAACCCCCCCATTCACACTAAAATCTATTAAAATCTATCAAAATCTAATAAGGTGAAATGAATGATTGAAACCTAAGAACAGAACTAGTAAACAGAACAGGACAACAAAAGTACTCCCTGAATCCCCTGCTCCATCAACAAGAGCTTCCTGTAGTTACCCTTTAATTTGTTTCTTTTCTGGAAAGTACAGGTAGGTAAGCAGATTACTTTATTGACCTATGTTAGTACAAGGTTCTACGCTGTACTTGATTATACATTCTGAGAAAAAAATCTGTAGACTTTGCCAGCCAGCGATGATGCAACCCTGAGACATGCTTCCTATGAGAGCGAAAATAAGTGTGCTGTGGAAATGTGGCTGATACTGAATGTTGAGTGGGTGTGACACGATTTCACGGCCAACCTATGTTACTCATCTCTAGCTGTTGATTCACAGGCACCTTCTTTATTTGATCTTTGTCAAAATATGTCAAGAAAAAACATATAGGTCCTCATTAACAGATAGTGGTGGGTGAAGACCAGGTGAGACGTAGTGTCCAGATGGGCTGTGCTTACTAAAAAACAGGAAATCCGTGGATAGCTCCATGTTATCTTCAACTAAAAAATTTGCTTTGTGCTGGTGTTAACTAAAAAGGTCAAAAAGTCCATTGGTCCATATTGTATCAGGGCATTGACGTTACTGGAAGTAGAAACTCTTCTCCTAAAGCCTCATGAGCTGATATATGTGGAATTGGTTCCTGCTCATACTGGTGACCACTGATTACCAGAAAGGGGTGAAGTGAATGCTGACTTCACAGGGGAGGGGCTGTAAAAATTGAATAGGTAAGTGATCTTTTGGACACCTTTATCATCTCACTGTGCAAATTGGTCTGAGCAAAGTGGCCTTATGTATTAAACAGACCAGTCAGATCACAAAGCAAGTTCTGACTTGGTTAAATCAGTTGACGCACATCTAGTCATTGCAAGCAATGTAGTGTCATTGGACAGTAAAGCATTCCTATCCACTTCTTTTTTATCTGCTGTGATGGGATATGCTTTTTCATATTTAGGTGTTTTTTTTTTTAACACATTCAAATACCTATAGGGTTAGTAGCATGCAAGCAATTCTCAGTTGGACAAAATATTAGTTGGAGTATTTTACATTGAGTAGCAATTATATGATACCACATAGTACGTGCGTTTCTCACTCCACAGGAAGCCATTTGTTCCATATGCATGCTGATTGATTGCTACTACTACTGATTAAACCAATTCCATTTTTTTGAGTACGAGTACCGAACTTTTCCTCAGGTACTCACCGATACCAATTACCCATACCTTTTTTTTAGTGTCATGTAAAGCAATACAGACTAATGATTTTAAGTGGTGGAGCGCCAGGGCCCGGATGCAACTGCAACCATTGTGACTCTGTTAGTTCTGCCGCTGACGCCAAGCTGTAGAGGGACTACAAATCTCAGCAATACATTATATAGCAATGCGCAATACCACCAGCTATAGGGGACTACAAATCCCAGCAATACATTATACTCGGAATGCACCGATATCAATACCCAATATCAGTATCAATGCCAATACTGGGCATTTTCACAAGTACTCGTACTCGTAAAAATGCCTCGATACTAAGTGCCGGTATCGGCACTTTACATTTTTAAATACAAGCGGCAGCCTTGTGGGGATCTTGTGGCGCATGTTTACAGCACTCGTCCAGCTGCACATCTCCTCCTACTTACCGTTGCCCGCACAGATATGGTGAGACACGGCACAGCACTGGGGAGTGCCGCACCCACCTGCACAGCACTGGGGAGACATGCACCTGCCAGTAGAGCCCTGGTGTGATCCTGCATGCAGCCATGGTGAAACTCAGCACAGCCCTGGGGAGTCCCGCACCTACCCGCACAGCCCTGGTGAGACACGCACCCGCCCACACAGCCCTGGGGAGACCCACACAGCTCTGGTGACACTCTGCACGCAGCCCTGGTGAGATCCTGCACTCATCCCTGGTGAGTCCCTGCACGCAGCTCTGGAGAGACCCTGCATACAGCCCTCGTGAGACCCTGCACGCAGCCCTTGTGAGACCCTGCACTCAGACCTGGTGAGACCCTGAATGCAGACCTGGTGAGACCCTGCATGCAGCCCTGTTGAGACCTGCACGCAGCCCTGGTGAGACCCTGCACTCATCCCTGGTGAGACCTGCACGCAGCCCTGGTGAGACCCTGCATGCACCCCTAGTGAGATCCTGCACTCAGCCCTTGTGAGACCCTGCACGCAGTCCTTGTGAGACCCTGCACGCAGCACTGGTGAGACCCTGCACGCACCCCTAGTGAGACCCTGGTCAGCCCCGATACCGATACTGGTATTGCAGCATCCCTAGTAACCACCCTACTAAAAATTGAAAACATTTAACCATTCACATCAGTATCTGTCTTACAAATGAGCTTAC